CAAGAAAATGATAAACATAACACGAAAAAGGATAGATATGATACAAGAAATTACAAGGGTATGTGAAAATTGTTACACTCAACCACCAACAATCTTCTAGTGACGTATGAGACTATTTTGAATACAATGTTAGAAACTCGTATAAATGACTTTGGTATGGAAGATGTGCATTCAGAAATTACCAAACAAGTACCTGTAGTTCACAATACTTTACCAACAAACATCGTGATATTGAAACCTGGTGATTCACCCAATTGTAATGAAAATATTCATACAGCATGTGAAATGTACCGTGATGATTTATCTCGTGGTGACCGTCTATATATTGTGTGTGACCAGGCAATTTTTGCGAGATTAATCTCTTATAAGAAAATTAACAATGATGTTTGACTTCTCTTGGAGCAGTGGCACACATCTAAAGATATGTGCAGCACTCTAATTATGATATTCTCGGAGTATGGAATATTCAATATTGCAGCAGCCCTTGGCGTACGATACTTAGATAAATTTGAACGCGTCATAGATTACATGGTAACGTGCCGTGTTTTGGAATTGATCTGGGTTGCAATCAGAATTGCATTATCTCAGCATGTGAAAGACAAAGGGGAAATCATGAATGATATTTTGAAGGGTGATAATTAATTAACGAAGGTATGATATCTTTTCTTCTGTTGGACAGGATATTTCGTGGGACATAAAATTGGAATTAAAAAGGGAAATTACAGAATGCAGATAGCAAATTTGGCTGCATTCGCACACCTTTTCCCTGCAGCTGGAAAGTTTAAGTATGCAAGTTCCATAGCGCACTTTTTAGCTCAAGTTCATGATGATCTACAGCTACAGAAATTGCTACAGACTGTATGCTCGGTAAACCTTGCAAATGAGGGACACTATTTAGCTTTTGATGAAGCGCTTGAAACTTACGGTGTAAAGTTCATCAAACAAAATATAACTGGAAATCTTACCAACCAGTCGACTGTGATGCTGAAGATTAAGGCAGCCCAGAGCGAGAGAGATCATCTATCAATGCTTCTTGTAGAATACATTGATGACATTGTGGCAAGTCAAAATGCTCACGTGATCAAGTCATGCAAAGATTCACTCTGGTCCTTGGTCGCAAAGTTATCATCTGCCTTTGGTGAACCAAATCCTGCAACACATTATTTGTTCAGAAATGCACCAGAAATTAGTGAAAATGGCATTAAGAATATTCTTTCTTTCTATGAGTCTGGAAAATTGCATTTTCAA